TAACCTGGTGGAGCATTGAACTATGCGGACGTTTAGAAACTTTCGGTTGTTTGTTGTGCAAACGTCGAAAGTTGCGCGACTTCGATCCCACGTACGGGTGAAAAAATGCGTTGAAATGACTCAAACTTATATACTGTGTGTAAAGAAAAGTGTTATTTTCTCGTCCGTTTCATGACTTGCAGATACTTGTAACATTATGATGGAGTTCAATGTCAATTTTTCTGTGTCCAAGTTGAAACTGCATGGCTCCCACCATTTTCTGGCTTCCTCGCCGTAGGTGTTAGGAAACCATTACCACTTGGGGTTTTCCACCCTGTTAGGTTTAGTTTTCGGATAATCAGACGAGTTTCTGCGATGGGCTGAGAGGCATTTCTGTGATGGGCTAGATAACCTAGAGCTCTGAGTTCGTAGCAGTTGTTTAACTGAGTTGCACAGCTTGGTGACTTCCGATTCCTGGCTCTTGGGCTTGTCGTAGATGGAATATATGTTAAAGACGGGTCTGCTAGAGATCCCCAGTATTTTATCTGCCGAGGCTATCAGTTCATCGAGTGGAACTGACTGGAGTGCAACTAACACGGTTTGCGCCGGTTGTGGTAGTTTGGAGAGGAAAAAACCATTATCGATCATTTGTGTGCCCTCAACCTCTCGCATGCGCACAAGGACTTGAGCAGCTGAGTTGCTGCCCAGCTTAATGTTGCGAGGCAATTCGTCTAGGCGTTGGCGGTCTGTGAGACCAATTTTCCTCAGTACTGAAGCCTTAGAAGTGCATTGGGACTAAACAGGACCAAACACGTCCGCCGTAACATGCCTGTCTAATTCACGTGGTAGTGAACGTATGACAGGAAGAAATCGAGAACGAGGATCTGCGACTCCCGGTTCTCGGAAATCTGCCTCGGCATACAGAAGCCACATTTCTGCACTGTCTGGCCAGTATGACGCCAGCTGGGTAATGTTCGTCGTCAGTTTAATACGAATAAGCTCTAGAGTATGGTCAAACATGGGAAGGAGTTGTACATGGATGTGTCAACGTCATCAAAATGAAAACAATATACAAGAAAAAAAGTGGGACAGGCCCACGAATTTAGGAATTGTCTTGGTGTGAACTTGACAGACGCAGAAGCCGATCACTGACCATTCATACTTGTTATACGCCCACGAATACGAGAACAAAGAGCACAATAGCTCAGCTGGATGGAATGGTATATTTGCGAGGTCGTGTCAAGAAAGTAATAATGTTAATAATAATTTATTCCTGAATTTACAGGCGCATATCATTTTTACAGGTACGGTTATAACAATTAGTGGTGGAAAATCTCCGGTAAAATTTTTTGTTGATAAAAAATTTTTACCATCTCCTTTTCACCCCAGGTAGCGGAAATCCTTAGTCTGAAAGAAAGAAAACTTCACTCTTCGTACGATGCATTCCAACCAACCGGCTAGAGGGTCGATAACGAACAGTGCAACGTAGCGCGACAGCGTGCCAAATGACGAGGATGCTTGACCGGCTTAACGAGTCCGGTGAAACTGTCAGGGTCAGCATCAATGTTGAGTCTCGTCGAATCCTAGGCTATTGATTCTGGAGAAGTGTGTGACGCTACAACCGCTTCAGCATTGTAGATTTTTCCAGCATGATCAATATGGGGATGTTTACTCTCTGGGTTCTCTCATGTTATATCCACAGAGTGAGTACTAATTATTTATTCATTTATTTATTACCTACTTCATCAGTTTATGACCATATAGTACTCGTTCAAGACTCCAGTACAGAGATTACCCGGCATCGAAAGTAAGCTGCAGACACATATATTTCGAAAGCAGCCTTCGAAATGCTCTTATGGCAACGGGAATAACGAAGAAAGTTGGTGAAGTCAACTGGTGGGGGCCAGATGGGAAAGGATCACAACTTGACTGCACTCTAACAGATGATGTAGGAAAAAGAGGTCACACAGTGGTGAGATTTTCCCCGACAATAAGCGAGAAACTGTCAGTAGCTGAACCATAAGTGTTCGGTTGTTACAGGAAGACAGGCCAGCACCCCATGAATAATGACCCCCTGAATGCACTATGGCCACAATTTTGACACTGTTTACCCATAGTCGGGCAGCATATGAAGGGCATTATTTGGAGCACCATCGAAAAGAATGTCCGGAAATTAAGCAGACGACCACCTCTTAAACGCTCCTAAGTTGCTTGTGCAACTCATAGACAAATACGAAGGAAAGAGAGTATGTGGTAGGTCACAACGAATCGAACTTTCTTAACTACAAGAAGTTACACTACCCATATACGTGTACATAATAACGGGGTCAAATACCAGAATAATCTGGCCAAATATTTAAGTTACAACCTGAAAGCCAACATCACTCTGTCACAGCGAAAACCCACGAACAGAGGCCTGAACCTCATCAAAGGACTGAATAGAGCAACCTGTATTGGCAGTGGGGTAGTGGGACCGTCTAGGAGTCGATACGACCAGTACTATATTTTCCACCGGCGTCCGGCAATTGGAAGTTCTGGGACTGCGACGTCAAGCTGATGACCGCGAGGGTTTCGTCAAGTTAGGTGTTCGTGAAGCCTTCAGTGCTCATAATAGGGAAATCTCTGTGATTCGGCGACACAAGGTCAGTTGTCCCAAGGAATTGTGCTGAAGTGCGATATGCGAAATCTGCTGACGCGCTCGTTAGAAGCCAGCTCCTAAAATAGTGGAAAGATGTTATATTGCCACCAGTCTTCTAGAGAAGGGACCAAAAAACCCATACAACACGAGCAGATGGGGCAACTTCCCATACTACCGGGAGGAATTGAAAGGCTGGGTGGAGAGGTTCACTTCGTCTCACGCAAATGGGTACAGCACCGTCCATCCTACCCTACACGGTTTCACAACCAGACAGTTATGCGCCACAAACTTGATGACAGCCTACGATGACTGGACCGATAGATGGGACAATAGGCAACCGGTCCACTTTACCTTTCTGGACTTAGCCAAAGCTTTCGATGGTGTCCCACACTGCACCTGCTCGCTAGATTTCCAAAAATGGCCATCACTACACTACTCAGCGTGGTTTACAGTTTATCTACAGGACGGGGGGTTCTGTTCTAAAGTAAACAGAATTCAGTCAGCGTGGTAAAACTCAACCACATATATTTCTGAGGGATCTACCCTTTGGACAGTGCTATTTTCACCATCCATAAATGACCTTTGCGTCCATATATCCTCATCTTTCCTCATATTTGCCGACGGTACCAAGATATGGAGGACAGTAGGTAGGCAAGAGGATCCTGGGATGGCCCAAGATCATCTGCTGCAGTTAGAGTCTTTATGGACTTAGAATGGCTTTTGCTTTAACCTGAAGAGGTGCAAAGTGATGTTTCCTTACACACCGGAAGCGATGAAAGCCAGCCACATCCCCCGCAAGTGTGCGATCACCAGGGCATCTGCGAAGAAGGACCACTGAACTAAACGTTTGTGACACACCAGATCCTGGTGTCAGCTACGAGGATATGGTGGCAAAGGCAAATGCCATCATGGATTTTCCAAGGAGACAGCTTGCAGCCCTAATGGTCGGACCATTCCTCATAGTATTCAGATCTTACGTTAGACCGCACAAAGAGGTTCAACATGATAACGACTCTTCTGCCGAAGACAGACGTGTGGACTCTGAAGAAAGTGCAGGCAACGAGGTCGGTCATCGGACTGACAAGCGAAACATATACTCAGCGCCTTATAAACTCAACTTATTTGCCTTAGGCTCTGGAAGGAAAAGGGGAGACGTGATAACAGCCTACATGACCATACACGGAGTGGAGCGTCCCCGAAAGACAACATTGCCGGTCCCAAACGGACACCTGTGGGAACCCCACTAGCATGCTCCATCAGCGGGCGAAGACAAGAGTGGGATCTAACTGTTGACATGGGATGTTTTTCCGAAAGCGGTAACCGCAGCTGCACCAGCTAACTTCAAACGACTATTGGACAAGCGCCTGAGCACAAACGGCTTGACGCAAACACTCGCCCACAACAACCGAAGGCATGCTCGTCCATCCCTGTTTTTTCCATAGTAAGGCTCATCTCTCCTCTGTATCCCTGCTACTGACGCTTATTTTCCAGCAAGTACTTTACATTACTTTTTTCTCACTTTCCACTCGCCCTGTTTCTCCTACCACTTTTTAAATAACGATTAACGCTTAAATTCAGGTGCTTACAAAGACAGGAATTGTGAAAGGCTGATCAATCTTATCAGCAGCTCCGTTCTACCCCCAAGCAAGGCAGCCTACATTTAAAAAAAGAAAAGCTATAAATAGACAATTGCTACCTCCAAAGCTATAAAAAGGTTAACTGCAAAGACTTCTACTACCACCGGAGGAATGCAACCTAACAAAAAGACCTCGGGCGACAGCTCTAAAACGAAATCTCCCCTACTTCCACCATTGATATTGGATAACTCATGAGAGTGAACGGCATCATAACTACTAATCGGGATTCAGAATGGTCCAGTTGACGAGTGACGAACCAGTAGAAATATGCATCGTAGAATCTAGCTGACCACTGCAGACAATGTAACTGACAACATGTAAAACAATCCAAGCGGAAGGTCCATACTTGAGATCACAAGTATTAACATTTGATTGGACTTACTGGATAGGAAAGGAAAGAAATCAGTAGCATTTCCGACTTATTTGTACAGGATTTTACTCTAGAGTCTCACAGATCACAACGGTTGGCTGTGAGTACGCTTAGCTACCCCATTCCAGAAGAACTAATTAACAGAACAGATTCTACCAATAAGTTAGGAAAATAAAAACAAATTATCCAATCTGTATGTTCCTTATCAACTATGAGTGATAAACCAATTTGAACCAATATAAACTCGGTATCTATCACTCTGATTTTAAAAAAACCCTTATCTTCAAAGCGTTAAACGTTGTCAACCACAATCTAAACCTTATTGTTTTTTATTTCTATCATTGATAGTTGGGATTCTTGGACATCCAATCCTTATTGTTTAAATCGCTGTATACAAGTTCAACTCAAGACAGAGATGGCGGATCGTGAGTTTTCCTCGTAATCACTTATTACTTAAAATGGTCGTTATTTAGTTGGTTCGGTGCTCCCCACAGTAAAGCCGAGGTGTATGTAGGCAAACAGCACCATTTTATAAGCACTGCTAGTTGCACACTCCCAGAACTTGATAGTGCCACCACATCGAGTTCTGCAGCAGTGGTGTTCAACAGAAGTACGTAGTTTCGGCACCATCTTTTAAGACTTTTGAAGTGAAAAGGAATCTCAGCTGTTCTGAAGAACCATCTGAATAGTTAATGGCAAATTGGCCACACGTTTGTCACCAACCACTATCCTAGGAATGCAGATAAAGTTTGTTTGCAGACTACGCTCTGATGGTTCGTCAGACTGGCTAATGTGCGTGTGGGTAAAGTGTTGAATGCGTATCGTTACAAGAGCAATGAATGCATCAATCCGGCTAGGGGGCTTGCGTTGTGAAAAGGGCCCAAGCAGAGGATCTCTACTAGGTACTGCCGAAACCTTTAGCGCCACCTTCAAAACAACTAAGCATTCTGTCACCTAACCAAAACTACCAACTGCCTTAGTGACCTTCATGCCTACTTACTGTTGTGTAGAATTAAGGCGACCCTTGTTATGGTCCTGTAAATACTTATAAAGCTCCTCACAGGAAAATCCTCGGGATGTGATGACATTTGGTATGTTGTAACAATGTGCGGGCGCCTTATGTAGTCCTCTCTGTAATCTGTTTCAGCACTACTTAGATGGACACGCTTCCACGAGTGTGAGAACGTGTTATTCTTCTCATCCTTAAATGAGGAGACAGACACCGAAATACTACCGTCCCATAGTACTCCTAACAGTACCGTCAAAAGTAATGGAGAAGTCGGCAAATGACCTGTATTTCCCTGTACACGTGGTCTTACCAAGACATTTGACGCAGTCTCGTTTGCGAGATATCAAGGTTAAGTATCAACAGTCAAGTGCTCCCCTGGCTGCATTACTTTCTAGACCTCTGCACTAATGTTAAATGGGTTCATCCGACTGGGAGGAGTTTGGTGTATCACAAGGAGGGACTTTGCGTCCGCTGCTGTTCTGGTGAATGACTCTGAGTGCTGAGACATCCAAAACAGAACAGTGCACAGCAAAGTGATCCCACATTGCTTATAGAGTGGGCAAATAACGGACTAGCATTTTAACTGGATGAATCCCGAACCGTGTTTCTTCACACCCGTGACTCTCCAAGAGTATTCTACCCTCTTTTGAATGTGACTTCCGCACAACCACGGGGAAAAACCTGGGACTAGTACTGAATGACGAGTCACATGCTCCAGTCATCCAGACGCTTTCAAAGCCTACGTGGTACTACACTTCATTCATATGCAGCTCGGTACCACCACTCTGGAACTCTTCCTGAACCTCTCCAAGAGGTTCACGTCATTACACCACCATACCTAAAGAGAAATATGAAACGCCTGGAGAAAGCCTAGAAGCGAGCAACGGTGTTTCGGGGACGAAGCGGAAACCCCGTGAGAGGAAAGTGAAAAACCCGGGGATTTACTCGCTTGGCTACCGTAGGTAACGTGATTTGAAAGCGGCTTACCAAATACCGTCATGCTAAAAGTAAAATCCTACCGAACGGCCACTTGGAATTCTGGGGAGGACTAAATGAGGATCGCCTGTTGAGCAGCGAAAACTGTTGTGAGTTCGAGATTCTTCTCTGCGAGTTTGCAGCCACTGAAACATTGCCTGCCGAGATTGCTACTGCTTCGTCTCTTGACATCTCTTGGACGTCTACGCAGCGACACGGCTTGTGCTCATCCACTTGGGTTACAGACTAGATTGATACAATCGACCAAATTCCGTACAATTCAGCATAGTTAACCTTACACTGAATCTATTTTACCGCCATTATCAAGAACTTCACCTAACCTTACAATTCTTTGTTAGGCGTCTCATCTCCAGTTACCGTATCTCCATTAATGTCATTACTATTTCTTCCATAACCCGTACTACAATTTCACTGGCTCCTCTTCCCTGTGACTTTGTGAGCTTACCTTATTTTTAAGGTTGTTGTCATCTCCCCTGAACCTTCAATGTGCCATGGTAGGGGAAGGTGGATTAGGCTGGAAAACGGTTCAAGCTAGCTAGACCAAGGCTTGACACCAGTAAATAGTCTCTAATTGATTGCCTGAACCGTATGGGAAGATGTAAATTGGCTGGTTAAGGGCCCCAAGACGAAAGGAATCAGTGGTTGAGGACTCTTGGTGACGACTGAAAATCGGTCACAGTAGCGTAGATGTATTCACTTCTTGGATATTTTTACTGACCGTTATCTCAAGATTGTTTATTCTGTCACGCAGCTTTGTGCATTTCAATATCACCCCTTTTTGTCCACGTGTTTCTTATGTACTGCTGCTAATTGTGGCGGCTTGAGCCGATGCACATGCGTGCTGATTTTGTCACTCAGTCCTCTGAATCTACCTACGTTTCTCCCTTCTAATCTGCTTCTTGTCACCTTGTTTTTTTCACATTCCCTCTTTATTTCTCCGGACATCTTCCTTTCTATCTTCACAACCAGTCCAAACAACTGTCAGGTGACGCGACACTTGAGGCACCCATGTGCACCGCAGTCCTTGGACAAACCATACAATCCCCACAAATATAACCGGCTACCCGTTGGGCTTACCAGAACTACAGCAGGCAAGTGAGTAGACGTACTGCACCGGAATCCACCAGACTTGGAACCGTTTCGAGAGATCCTAGAGGGTGCGCGAAAGAATCATTTGGTTTACACGAGCTTGTAAGAAGATATCGGGTGTTGGAGGTCCACTGAGAGCACTTACTAGTGACAGGTTAAGTAGCCTTAGTACATAGCATTGTCACATGATAGTTAGAAGTGACCCCCTACTTCGTCAGGATTTTAAGCTGGTCAGAACTGACAGGTGCGTAAATAAATGCCTAGTTAGTCACAGTATAACTTGTCCTCAGTGTTTCTGGGCTCTGGTATTTTTTCGTTAGGTATACCAGTTTTCCGGTACTAAATTATAGCGGTTTAAGTCGATAAAGTATGCAGAGCTGCATAATACTGGGTATCACAAGCGATTCTTTTTTCTAGGTGGTTCGTTTAGCACCTCACTCATAATGCACGAATTGTCCTATCACTTTCGCTCATCCTTACGAATTCGTAATGCAGTAAGCGAGGAGCTGAAAGCACTTCGAAGAGTGTTGATCGAGAACGGCTATCCTTCGAACTCCACTGAGAACATTATTCCCTACCAATTTCCATAAGCCGCTCCTATCCTCAATAGAAGCTTTATGAATATTGGATTCAAGGAAAATACATTGACAGATTCTGAGGAAGTGTCTGCAAAGCACTAAAGAAGACTTTTCGCCCAGCATCTGATTGTTTTCCCTAGCCAACAGCTGATTCGAGGGTGTGTTGAGGATAAAATATTGATTTCGGCCACCACTAGGTGTACTTACCAATTCACCTGCTTTTGTGGAGTTAGTCACAGGCCTCACAAAGCTTGATCTATCCAAACATCTCTGAACACCATCCTGCGTGGCTGTCTAAAGAACAGTGCAAAGCCAACAACAGCTCAGTTCTTGAGCATTTGGTTAATTTTGGTTACTATGCTTCACATGAGTCTTCTTTCAAAGAACAGGAGTTATTTATTTGTTCCTAATATAGGCATAGGGATTCTCGTATAAGTTTATGAATCGTTTGAGACTGGGTTGTATTTTAAGCTAGATATGTTGCTCATGAAGTTCACTAAACTGTACAAAGCTGAGTGGCACTCTTGTAGGAGAAATTGGGAATTGTGGTAGAGTATAATTCCGCGTGAGATTATTTGATATGATACAGTGACAGTATTATCTGCTGAATGTTTTGGGAAGAATTTATTGTTTGTATTCGTATGAAAGATATAAATATGTTCATATTTTGGACAATTGTTGAGATATTAGTTTGTATATCTTTCTCAGACAACCTGCTGGTGGACAGGTGTTTCTCATAAAATTATTAAGTTGCTTTATCTTAACATCCGTTGTTTGGCATCAAATAAATCAACATGTTTCTTCCTTATTCAGTGTTGTAGGCTATCCAATCTATTAAGAATAAGTAGTGCATGCTCTAGTTGCGGTGTAACAAATTCTCAGGTTCGCCAAATGTCTGAAGACCTACAACCGGTGGGTTCTTTAAGAAACTGTTTCTCGTTCACGAAGTGTTACATATTGAGATATTAATACTTTTCGAGAGACTACTGTCCACAAACTGTAGGTCCTGTGTCAAACTTCTATCTCACCTATCTTGGTCTAGCCAACTAAGTGATTTCATCGGCGCTCACGTTATGACTCAGTTCAACGCACGAACCTGTATTGAATAGATGGATTGCATCGATGCTAAATAATTACAGCATTGCACTAGTATGTCCTAAAATCGTTTTTACTTTCCTACGATATATCGAGCAATAACCAGAGAATTCTCTCTGCGAAAATTTTAAGATAACCTTTCAAATGACTTAAAAATACATGCTTACGTGGCAGTTGTTATTTTACCTTGAAGCTGTTTCAACAACTAACCTCTTGTCGGGAAACCTCTTGTTAGCTGTTTTTCAAACGATCTAAGTCGGTTAGACATCACGAGGTTCATGCGTGAGTTTAAAAGCATCTAACCGCGTTAGAATCATTCTACAAACAATCAGTCGCAAGTGACTAGCGTTCATACATACAACCATAGTACAAATAGGTATTGAATCTTAAGTTCATTTCGGAGCGTACTACAGTTTATGAAATTTTGTCAGCCCATTTTGAGAGGGAATGACCCTCCCACAAGGTATTTGTAACGAAGAACTTTTATGCGAAAAATTGTGGAGTCAACGGATGTAACAAATATTACTTAAAACGTTCACCCTTAATGACAACCGTCGAACTACCTACCATTTGTCTCTTATTGTTTGTGTTGCTGTTGCAGATGTTATTTTGCAACTATTTTAGAAGACTCGCATAAATAGGTATGCGTGCAGCTGATATAAAATCTAATTTTTTTCCGATTTACCGGACATGATACGAGTCTAGCGAAAATGCAAAATCAACCAGAATACTGAAAAACGATGTATCCTGCTATACTCGATAAGACCACAGGTTCATTAGGACAAACGTCATTGCACGTTAACCACTAGTTTGATCTAATCAGGATGTTATACTAGGTTCTAAGGTTCTAAGTCGAGAATATTAGTATGGACTATTTTATTGACTCGTTTTTAGGCTCATATTCCTGTGCGACTGAGCAGTCCATGAGGGGTGCAGTTAGTTTGATCTCAATTCAGTTTTGATAGTTGTTTGTTCGTAGCACTTGGCTTTAGTCCCACAACACTTGAATATTACTACAAAAGAATATTTTGAACTGAGAACCAGTAACAGTATAATTATCAATCATGTAGCTCGGTTTCCAATTATTGTTTACAGCAGTGAAAAGGTCCTGAGTCTTCAAAAAGACTAGCTTATTTGTGGTTGATCTCAATCGTGGTTAGGTTATGCAGGCTGAATTGTGGCCCGAAAGATAAACGCCATTAATGTTCTGTTCATTCAACAGATGACCTAGAAAGTACGTGAATAGGTCGTAATCTGGCAGATATACATGATCATGGACTGTTGGAAGCTTCAGTGATAAGTTTTCACTCGATGTCATGGGTGCCTCTACAGAGTAACTTGCTCATGTCTAATTTTTCGTTGGTAAACCCCTTTTTCCATTCATTGCCGAACTGATTTATTATTGTAGATAAAAATGGTTTTCGCTTCTCTGTTTTAGAATTCGCATATGCTAACATGCAACAAGCGGGCCAAGCTGGATACCCTTCTTTTCACTACCCAACAGCGAGTGGTGACCAAAATGCCCAGTTGCTCCAAGGCTATGCACTTACCCAACAGGGGAATCCGGCTGCCGGAGTTCCAGGTTCAATGTTTGGGGCTCAGTCAGCTGCCTCGTATAATTTTGACCATACCGGTTCCTGTTACAGTCAATCTTCGTCTATTCCTGTATGCCAAGTGGATGGCTCACAGGTTTCCATGCAACCTGGTCTGTCGAATGTTTTCCTTTTTTCATGTCTTTCAGGTGCGGGGGGTTTCGCCTATCCTAATTTCTCTGGATCATTTAACCAGTATCCAGGAATGGGGCAAGGTATGCCTCCTGGACTGTCAGCCGTCCAAGCAGGCTTCAGCACTGGTATTGCGTGTTTTCATTCTTACTTTTAAGATATGCAACAGTTTGGCCCGCTTATGGCTAATGCATTTGGGCAAACAATGTCTGCTAATGGAGCAATTTTAGAGGCTATAGCACATGAGCAAGGACTTGCAGGTTAGATCTATAAACAGATCAAAGTTTATAAATTCTAGGTTTTAATCCAGTCGCTTTTCTCCAAGACCCAACTGGTTCGAATTCGCGGGGTGGATTGGGCACTGGAAGAGGCAGCAGGTATGTTAAGTCCTAAATCTTTGGTACATCCGAATATCGAACGGTGTTTTGAGTTTTGACCAAAATTTTTGATTGTCTCCCAATCAGTGGCGTATTTGGTTCAATTTGAGTGGGAGCTGTATTTTTCGTCAGTGTTTTGGGTAACTTTATTGATAATTTCCGACCAGTGGTTTTATGATGTGTGAGTCTTGGTATTTCTGGCTCCCCACTTTAATGCTTTTTACAGAAGCAAAATGTCTTCTGGTGTTTTTGTGTTTTCACTGTTTTGAATTTAACGAAGATTAGTGTTTTCAGCCAAAGAGGTGGATATAACAAATTTGGCGGTAAGTCGTTTTCAAAGAATTTTTCACATTTGCTTGCTGAAATTCTCAGCGGCTTTTGCGAGAGTTGCTCTATGTCATTCCTTTTATTATTTTTGATTAGGTTCACGATCGGGATCCAACCTACCCAGTGTTACTAATCGTGAGTCTCACATTCACAAATTTATACTTGACGTTTAGCTGATGGCCTCCGCGAAGATACAATATTTATCAGTAACTTGCCACAAAACATTGATCACGAAGTAATGAAGTCTCAATTCGGGGTCGTTGGAAAAATTAAAGTGAGCTTTTCTGTAGATTTTTGATAATGTACAATATAGATCAACTCAAAAAGCGGCATGCCTATGATATGGATATTCAAGGAGAAAGGCATACCGAAAGGGGAAGCACTTGTGACTTACGAAGACCCAAGTTGTGTTCAGTCAGCGATCCAATGGTTCAAAGGTTTGTTGCTATATTGTCTTCTTGTTACAGTTGTACAAATCTCGTTATTTCTCTTAGCCTTTCACATTTATGTATTCGTAGTGCTAGAAACTCTATACATAGTGTAACTTGTCGTTTTTTATTGCCTTCCAGAGCACGAGTTTTTGGGTAGGAAAATCGAAGTCAAACAAGCCATTAACAGTCAGCGACCAGTTATTATTCCTCCAGGTGGTGGTGGTGGTTTGCTTGGCGGAAATGGGAACGGACCCAACAACCCCGCAGCTGCTCTGGCCGTGGCAGCTGTTGCTGCAGCTGCCAGTGGAAATACTGTTGCCAGTCTGATGAATAATAGTGCAGCTGCTGCTGCCAGTCTTGCTGCTCTCACAGCCAACAATCCTCAACTTGCTGCCCACTTTGAGTCTAAAGAGTATCCTGGCATGGGTCGTGGAGCTAGCACAGCATCACGAGGAGCTCGTGGAGCAGTAACCAATGGTTCTGCTGGGAGGACAAATGTCGGTTCAGCACAAGCAGGCTCACGAGAAGGTGACTGGAGCTGTCCACAATGTGGTAATATCAACTTCTCATGGAGGGAGCAGTGCAACAGGTGTCAGGTAAGTTCTACTTGCGTAATGAAAATATGCCAGCTGCGCACATATAGGGCATCTGTTTTATTCAGTGATTTTCTGTTAACAAGGTTTTAACTTCCATTATAAAGCATGAGATTTATATGCGTAAATCGAAGTTACACCTGTGGGTTTCGTACCTGAGATGCCTGTAGTACAATAACTCAATTTTCAATAAAGTTCATTTATTATTTCACTTGAGTTCGCATCAAGGCAATAGACACCAATAAACTATAACTTTTTGTTCATTGTAAGGTAACAAAACATTTCCACTATCGGGCATCATAGTTACCTAATGTATCATAGCGGTCGAAAAGTCAATGGTTATTCAATTATTACTGCGTGTTAAGAACGTCTTAAGATTTCAATTGGTTGTCTCTTATTTCTAATTTTTGGACAGTATCTGGTTATACAGTTGGTCAATACTACCTCCTTTAGTTCTTTGATTTAAAGGTGATTCTTTTTTGCACATCAACACAACTTTTTATCAAATTCTTAATCAACTCGTTTTTTTTCAGTCTACACGTTTAGGTGATGGGTCCAGCAATACTGAGGCCAATGGAAATTCCAGAAATAATGTGAGTGCTGTTAGCCGTGCTGCTCAACCCCCTGCTGCAACTATGAATTCCGTTTCTCAGCAGAACGCGCCCGGGTTTGGAAGAGGGGGTACAATGAGTTCAACTGCAGGTGCTAATCGAGGTGGACGAGGTGGTGGTCCCATGCGTGGAAGTAGTGCTGGTACTGGCCGAGCACGTCCAGCACCCTATTAAACTATCTGAATGTATGCTTCTTGAAAGTTATCTTGAAGCATTCCTTGACGTTTTCAGGATGCATTTCAGGTCCCTGCTGTCTACACTTAGTATCTCTGTTGTCTCATTAACTGTGGATGGTTTACGAATTTATATTGTATTTGAATTGTGTAATTATGGGTCATTTAATTCAGCAGTCGTAATAATCTTGACTTCAACTGAGTTACTTTCGATCGGGTATCCGTAACATATCTTCTGAGGAACATTAAGCAACAGTCCTAATCGATGCGTCACAGTTTTCACTTATTTTGTGGAAGTAGTCTATTTAGTTTGTTATACTTGAAGTTAGTTTTAGAGCTTGAGTTCATTAGATATCTTAGTGTCATTAATGCATCTGTAGCCGCGGTTTCTTTTGCTGTAGTTGAAATTGCTCTGTTTAGTAAGATGTAACATTTACTAGTGTTAGACTTTCTCGGAACCGAGTTTTTTTGTTACATGCTTTTTGTTTCTTCACTTCACAAGATTTCAAGAAGCATTATATTGATATCGCTAAGAGTTAGGTTTGCGAAAAAATAATATTCCTTTCATATCAACAGCTATTTGAATTATTAACACAAGGTCTGAGGTTTATTTATAGGTTGTTTTCAGAAATGATTTGTCAACCAAACATCTAAGAAGTACCTTTGTCTAGATTCTAACCACCCTTCTTTGGTATGGATTTATCCTGCTCCAGAGGTCCTGGAGCTAGTTTTCGTCCTTGGCATTCGTCAGGGTATTTTGTGTTGACAAAACGACCATCTTCGTCAACCTGAATTAATTTGACGCCAGACATATATGGCATCTATCCTAAATAAAATGGTATACTCATTACTTCCTGGAATTTGAGAAAATCGTCAACTTCTCGTTTCAAGCCTAAATTGTTTATCCATGAGATCTTTTGAAGAATACACTTAGTAACTTTGACACCTGTTCATTTTCCTAGCTTATCCATAACGCCTATGCCAGTTCATTGAGCATCACCATCAGAGAATATGAATATAAATACTAGCTTTGAAAATTCACCAAGTCTTCACAAACCCCAAATTAAGAAATATAAGTTTTATATGACTTCGTAAAGTTGAGTGAGTACATTTACGATGGCCTTGATTGAATATTCTGTTGCACAGGTCAGAGTGCACATCTAGGAAAGATGAAGTATAAGATGGATTTGCTTTATATATATATATATATATATATATATATATATATATATATATATATATATATAGCATGTAAACACCACCGCGATCGTTTAAGGTTCCCATTATCATCCGACTTTCCTCCCCTCTTTAGTACAGCCCAGCCAACTTGGACGCCACTCGCAAAGATTTCACATCAATGCTACAAAGGCGTCTGTATTCACAAACTTGTAATATTTGTACATATTCCGCTAGTGCGAACCGGTGCTTAGGTACTAGTGGTTGTAACTGCGTAAACTAACGGATGAGGGTGATTTGCAACCAAATCTATTGACGCTTCATTTTGTGATTGCATTCGTCACTGATTAGAGGTTTGAAGTTTACATTTTCTTCCAGTGATAAGTTGCAGATGACATAATTCATTTATTGAAAAATTCAATTTTATGGGTTTGTTTCAGGCATAAATTCAATGATTTTTAAGCGAGAAAACAGTAGTGGTAGTCGTTTGCTGACGTCGTTTTCACAAGTGTATTTTAATGGAGGCTTGTTGACGGTCCGCTTATGAACAATTCACATGTCCAATCGACAATTTCTTTCATGATTACTTTGAAAATAAAACAAATCATTAATATAATAAGACATCTAAATACTGATTAAAGGCAAACAATGCAATTGGCTCATTAAAAAGCGTCTGTTAATCATTTTTATTCCAGAAACTATGATGTGGCTAACGTATTAAGAGCCTCTACTTTTTAACTAAGTAGGATCCTGAATATCAACCGAGTCCTATAATGACATCAAGACACTTTTATACCTTCGTAAACCGATGAAATAAAATCGTCTACATGATGATCACGTTCATAAGCTAGTTCATTCGAATGAAAATGAGATTTGTGGGTTTCCGAACGTGTTTGCTAACTAACTAACTTTGAGTATGGTCGTTCATATGTCCCAAGGATTTATCTGATGTGTGCCTCCGGTTGTTGGATAGAATAATGCACAAGTTTCTGGGCTAAGATCTGGCACATGATTACGTAAGTGCTCCTCATTGCTAATTGATCGAATCCCAAGGTTTAATCTTTGAGATTATACAATACCTTCATACATTCTGTTCGTATGTTGTCTAGACATTATATGAGTTTGTGAGTGAATGAAATGGAACTCGATAAGCACTATTTTGTCAGTTCACTGGTCTGTGGTTTCGTAAATCTCATTTTTGATGCTACTTTTTCGACAGTAAAACTTATGGGCCTAAGGCATTCATTGTATCTTCTCGGGAAACTGTTCGTGCATACATGTTATCCCTAACTAAATCAATTCATGTGTTTTCATCTGAGGTTACCCTATCAGTGTTACTAATCATCGATGGTGCAATACGACTGTTACGTTCCGGCTCTCACGGTACAATGGCCTTAATTTCGGGATGGCAACAGAGCATTTAGCTGTAGGGAGTACCTCTCATGCAAACTTGAGATTCTAGAAATCCTTAGTCGACCATAATTCCTAAGCAACAAGGAAACTATCTCTGATTCGTTTCAAATTGTTCAACATTTTATAATTGGAGTTGTGAGGATCTTACACTACTAAAATTTGAGGGAGTTGTGGAGATTTGGAATTTTTCTCTTCCGTGAATGGGATCTGTTAAAATTCATCAGTGATTCATTCACTTTCGCTTCATATCACAAACAAAAATATATGTCGTTCATATATTTACAGTAAGCATCCATTGAATCTATCTACGGCTTCTTAACACCATTTTTCAACTTTAATAGTAATAGGTCGACAATTGTTAGTCAAAATGGAAATCTCATTGCTACCTCCATCTATTGTCATATATATATTTAACAGTAGATGTACCTCTTAGTCACAGTTTCACAAATCTCTGTGTAGACAGGACAATATCCAGGTTCTCTTCTGCAACGATTTCAGATATATAATCAACCGTCTCCACCTGCGAAACACTCATGAACAGTGAAGTAACGACCAGACACAATAAAACTACAACCTGTATGCTTTCTTGTTCACTTATCTTAACAAACCAAAGACATATTTCAGGCTGTATGCATGATAACATTCTTCCTCAATGGTTCTTCTTATACTGTGGTATGAGATTAATAAAATTTTCATAAGAAGGCGTTAACTCCTAAAGCTTCTCTCAACCAATCATTTTCTTCCGAAGTTTTGGAAGAAGGTGTGTGAACAATCATGTAAATATCAGATTGGTTGAAGAAAGATCAACAGGATATTGAAATCTAGAAAGGTCTGGAAATAGCCAAGGCCACTGTAAATACATATAAACCCTTGTCTTTTGTGTACATTTCTGACGTTACAATACACCTTAGGCTGTCGTACCGCCTTTTCCATTTATCGAGAAAAGTGAGATACAACCACAGGGTGGGATCTGAAGGTCATGGATCAAGCGTCCATATATATATATATATATATATATATAATTCATGTTATACCAAGTAGTCTTCACAAGGATATGATAATTCTTGTCTCCGGTACTTCAGTTCTCCGCAGCATGAAATGTTAATTTGGACATGTCTATAATTGGTCTCTGGGGTTTACCGTCTTTATGAATTTTCGTATAATCTTGGAATATCATTTATCACTTTATAGTAGACTGCAGCAATGGCCCACGTTTTTTCGCATATGAACCACAACCACTATTTACTGCGAAATGTCGGATTTCAGTATGAGGAGTAATATGCTTGCTACACTAAGTGAAACCAGTTATTAGCACTATAAGAAAGTTTTTGAACAACTAAACTTTAGCAAAATGGAAATACTACATTTCCCAATATATTCTGATTTCGTTTGGAAAACTGAACTTGCACAAAAAAGCATCCATTTACTAGTTATTCAATCACTTTTTTACTTGTAATTGCTTTTGAGAAAAGTTTACAAACTACGAAATATTATCCAGTGCTCATTAGTGATGTTTTAGAAATTGTCCTTGTGAGAACTTTACAAACACAGAGACTGATCACTAATTATTCGTATTTATAATGTACTCATGAATGAGAGACGAAAGAAGAACACAATAGCGTAGTCTGATGGGAATAGATTATTTGCGAGATCGTGCCAAAATACCGATGTGTTCCAAGTAGTGGGGTATAGGACCGATTATGAGCAGTGCAACGTAGAACGACAACACACCAAATGGTGTAGACGCCTGATCGCGGTGCCTTCAGCTTAGTAAGTTCGATAAAAATATGAAGGCCAACATCACTTCTGATTCTCGTCGAACCCAAAGACTATTTATTTTGGGGAATTGTGTGCCGCAACAACATACTCTGCTATGAAATTATCCAAAGTTTTTAATAAGCCGTGACCAAGTCGGACGTGAGGACAAATAATCAATGATGGCATTGGATGAAGGTTGTACTATGTTCAAGTTGACAAAAGTCAGAAAATGTGAATCATTAGGTTTCAACTTAGTGGTTAGAGTGCTTGATACGAGACCTGACGATCTTGGGTTCAGTCACTGGTGGGGTTATGGGTTCACACTGCTGAGTTTTGTATTAGGACGAAACGGCTGTTCAGTGCTCCCAAGGTTTTAGGGGTATGACAAGTGATGTTGGCTCGTGATGAATACTAACTTGAAATATAAGCACAGAATTTCAAGGACCTTTGACTTTATGTAGAGTAGAAGACACTAGAAACGACATACAAAGTTAATGATCAGGTCATATCAATACCACAATCCAAAGATACTTATGAGTTTTGAAGGTTGAAAACGCACTCCGAATATTTTTGGCAATAATTTGAATGATTTAGGAGACTTGGATCAAGCAGTAGGCGACAAGATGTCTGTTAAGCAGTATGGTTACGTAACCGACTTTCTCGTTCATAGAAATGTAGTCAGCTAAGTGTTTGATGTTGGCTGACCGAATATCCTGAAATACATAAGAAAACAGTTCACATTATATGACTATAATTACTCTTGAACTTCACAAGGTGCTATCGCAATCACGTGAAATGCTGTGCCCTCATTTATTTGTCTTCTGTTATCGACCGAAGAGATATTCTATTCTTCTGAGTGCAAATTCTTAAAATATTATTATATTATGCTAAAGTATTTGAACTGATTAAATGACTTCGGCTCAGAACCGATGTCAGTGGCGCAGACGTATACACACATCATCCTCATCTTAACTACACTATGCTGAGTCTCACCATTTTGTCGCTCCTCTTTCCTTTCTTTCCGTACTTCATATTTCTTTTGACTGCATCCACTTATCTTCATCCTTCACCTCACTACCCCTCTACTTGATGAAGTGACGTGAGGTGTGGCAACTCGGACCGTTACGCAGTAATGCCTGATGCTATGTTGATAATGATTGATTGATTCAAATGACTATGGTTAGAAGAATAGAATGTAATGAAATAAATAAGCTTCTTTCATACATTCACTAGTACTATCACATTACAACGAGACATAAATCACTTGACTTTAAATTCAAACATATTCTGTGCCTTATTTCCAAACCGGTTCAGTGAAATTATTTCATCTAACTGAAGAAAGTAGTCAGTGAACCTATAAAAGATGTTATTGTCGAACATTTCATCAATATTTATTAAGGCATTACAAAAGACCCATCACCAAAAATCTACTTCAAGTTGAAAAACAAATAACTGGAGATATTTTCTCTTCCCTACATAGTCGATGTCTTAGTCACATGCATGAAAAAGCCCATTGGATGTGTTCAAATTGAACTTACTGGACCCTACTGCTATCATACTTTTACTTATCAATAGTGAAAGTTACCTCCTACATCCATCTTCTGCTTGTGAATGTATTCTGCTTCTTTTTTCCCTTTGTTATTTGTTATATGACATTTCGAGTACAATTCACTGTTCATAATCACATCACATGAATATGAGTGAATGTTGCTCAAAATGTCGTCTAGTAAATAATACCTTATCACTGTGCTCAATATCAGATAGGCTAATCTAATGTTGCGATTGATGATAGCAGTCCTACAGGTCAGAGACGAAGTTCATAGTTTAGTAGAACTTCTC